CTCTGACTTTTACTTTCTCCATACATTTCTGGGTCCATGACTCAAATGTATTTAAACCAAGCAAACAGTAATAGGAATGGCAACATTCATGTTTCTCTCATGACAGGTATTCTTTAAAACATAACACACACTGAGTGGATTATGATTAAGACCTCAAGAGCAACTGGCCTGTGAGCAGCTCACACTGGTATTTCATATCAGCACACAGGGCAGGGCATTCAGATGTGCAAACAGATGGTCACAGTAAACACATTTATACATTCCTCTGGCTACGTTCTGTGACTATCTATCTATCTATCTATCTATCTATCTATCTATCTATCTATCTATCTATCTATCTATCTATCTATCTATCTATCTATCTATCGTACCTATCTATCTAGCTACATACTTTGGATCTTGTAGAAATTGTAATTCCTGAAACTGTGGGTGGGGCGGCTGGTGGGGCAGTGGACAGAGTTATGGTGGGTGTGTCCAAAGGGTGCTGTAAAAGTAGGAGGGGATTAACCAATAGGTCCGTAGTCTACAGAACGGTGGGTAGGTGGGATCCAGTTGCACTGTGCGTACACCATTCCAGTGACACTGACAGTGCCTGTAAGTGGCAGCCAGGTGCACAGTCAGTGTCATTGGAATGGTGGATAGGTGGGAGCAAGGTGCACTGCACTGAGAGTCTCTGGAAAGGTGTGTTCACCCAGCTGCCACTTACCGGCACTGCTAGTGTCTATGAAATGGTGTATACACCTTGCTCTCACCTATCCTCTATTCCAGTAACACTGCCTGTAGGTGGTAGCCAGGTGCACTGTCAGTGTCACTGGAATGGTGGATAGGTGGAAGCCAGGTGCACACACCATTTCAGTGGCACTGACTACATACACATACATACAAACTAGGGATGCACTGATACCGAGTTTTTTGGCAAGTACTCCTTCTTGCCCAAATGCTCCCAATACTTATCCTGATACCTGAACTTCTGGTATCAGGAAGCTGGGCGCCAAGTCATTACATGCCGCCTGACTTCCTGATTGGCTGGGAAGCTGGACTCATGCTCCCTTGTCACTTGGTGACGAGGGAGCATGGAGCTGGCCTCCTTGCCAATAGGTCTGTTCCTCCTTCATTGGTACCCGAAACAATCCTTGTATCGCACTTCTATCAACTCCATCGATATACCCATTACCAGGGGTAGGCAACCTTGGCTCTCCATCTGTGCTGAAACTACAAATCCCATAAGGCATTGCAAGCCAAAGGCATGACTCCCAGAGGCAGACGCATGATGGGATTTGTAGTTTCAGCACAGCTGGAGAGCCAAGGTTGCCTACCCTTGCCCATTAGTATATCCCCCCTATGAAAATTTTACCTTATAGGTTATATAAGGTAGCAGACTTTTTCGGTTTGTCATTATACTCTTAGTTAGACATTATTACCTTTACACTGACTTGAACATATTTTTGATTCACATGCTGTAGTTATTGAAAATATTTGAAGACTGGAAATAAGACAATGTGCAGCAACATGTATGTGGTGTGCTCAGAGATGCTTTTTAATTTCACCCTGAGATCTTTATTTCTTAGAAGAACCCCTTGTCATATGTCTAGGTTCTTTCCATCATTCCCCATGGATGTCAAGTCCTGAGAATCAACACAGGTGTCATTGAAAGGATCTGCCGATAGGAAATGATGAAGTAATAATTTGTGACTAGAATCGCTTGTTGTTACTGGACAAGCTGGACACGAAATTTAATGAAGCACGCACTAAAACGTTCTTTGCTACTTGGACATCGTATGTTGCAGCAGAGTTTTCATTACAACAGCTGCAAGATCTGATGTCCATTTTTAAGCTGTCCAAATGGTACCTCGAGGCTAAACTGACGGGTTCCCTAGGGCCCCTAGATGTCCTCTGACCCTTGATCTACTGCGATCACTCGAGCTTCCCACCACCAATCTCCACCACGAGTAGTCCTCCTGTTGCACCCACGAATGCCCCTAATGGTTCGAATTGGTCTTCTACCCACAGTACCGACCCTCATGGCTATAGGGTCTGCTACTAGTTGTTAGTATTACACATATATGATGCGCAACTTTCCAGCGGAATGTATCCATATTATATAATTCAGTTTCAGTTTATGGATGTACTTTACTTGACATGTCTGGATTTCAGTCTGTGTACTGAGTTAATGTCTCTGCTGCATACCAATGCTTGTTCGTTGTGTAATGTTTTATTTTTGATTATTCTCAATAAAAAAATAAAATAATTTGTGACTATAAGTGTAGTAAAAATCAACCCAGACAAAAATAAATCACTCACTGGTCAGATGTTAAGGGAACCAAAGTCTAGCATGTGCCTGTCTGGACATTGATATAAACATTTGTATCAAACCATTTTCTGTACAGTAAGTCCCCAACTTACAAAGGAGTTCCGTTCTGAGAGCGCATTCGTAAGTCCAATTTGTTCAGCAAAGTTCTCCATCTCTTCCATCACTTTTTCACGCTTTTTTGTTATTATTGTAGACATCATCGGCACAGCAGACTTCACATGTTCCATGATCTTGTCCTTTTGTCTTTAGAATGCTGCCGATGGTTGAACGATTCATGTTATAAAAACGAGCGACGTCTACCATCTTTTCGCCTCGCTCCAGTCTCTCAATTATTTTTATTATTGTTTTCATTGTTATCGTTTGGCGCTTCTTAGCAGAAGCAGTACTAGCTACATCACAGCTGCTTTTACGCTTGCTTCCGGACATCCTGGGCTAGATACTGTACTCTGTACAATAAAGTACACAAAAGCACAGCCACTTGTATCGGATGCACATGACAATGTACGCAAGACATGTGAACAAACGTCCGTGATTGGAGATGCGAAAGCACGTTTGCATCTTTGAATGTTCACAACTTGAAGGTTCCTAAGTAGGTGACTTACTGCATTAGTGTTTGGCCACTGATTTAGGAAATAATTAATATATTTTTGTCATATTGGAAAGTGACCCACATGTGTTAATAATAGTGATTGTGGTGAGTTTCCAAAGCATTGTTCAGGCATTACTTGTCATAATCAGGGCAGTGCAAGGGCTTGTATTAATGGGCAAAAGCAGTCTTCTTTGTGATGTACTCCACTTGCATTTTACATCACTGATAGATGCATCTCACCTACTGTTGGCCTCCTTCTGACCTGCAGTTGACCTCCCCTACATGCTGATGTAGGGGAGGCCCCTTATCAGTCTCCTGCTGCTCATTTACTGTGCAATTAGGAGGGTGTGGATGGCAGATGACAGCACTGTAATCCTTAACTGTAAAACTGTAACAAACAAAGTAGTGTCACCTGCCTAGCTGTGTAAATATCTGGACTGAAAGGATAGAAATACAAATCCTTCGGCAGGTAAAACATCTCCAATATATGTTTCTCCCCTGTAGATGTTTGCCAATATTTCCAATATATGTATCTCCCCTGTAGATGTTTGCCAATATTTCCAATATATGTATCTCACTTGTAGATGTTTGCCAATATCTCCAATATATGTATCTCACCTGTAGATGTTTGCCAATATCTCCAATATATGTATCTGACCTGTAGATGTTTGCCGATATCTCCAATATATGTATCTCACCTATAGATGTTTGCCGATATCTCCAATTTATGTACAGTATGCCACTTGTAGATGTTTGCCAATATCTCCAATACAGGCAGTCCCCGACTTACAAACGCCCGACTTACAAACAACCTGTACTTACCAACCGAGGTCCGATTGCCCCCCGAGATTAGTGCCGTTCCCGAGTCCCGCTCCTTGCCTCTGCCACCCGCAGGTCCCGCACTCACGCAGTGTAGTGATACAACTACATACATCTGTCACTCAGTGCTACAGACTTTACTGCAGTTCATTGTAAAAAAAAAACTTTGTACAATGAACTGCAGTAAAGTCGGTGACACTGAGTGACAGCTTTATGTACCGGCGCCGGCGGCTGTGCGGGGATCCAATGCACACAGGCGGCCGTGCAACTGCCGGTTATTTAGGAGAACTGTTAGCATAACAGTAGCATAATGGAGCCAATACGAGACTCTACAGGCACCGCCAGGCAGCCACATCCTGCTGTTTGGGTCATCGTGGGGACCCTCTCTTGTGGTCCCTCCACCTCCACTGGCCGCCAAAGACACAGGAGAAGAGGTGCTGCAGCCTGCATGTGTTAGGTGAGGTTGGGGAGTGTACCGGCGCCTGAGCCTAGGGGGGCTCAGCAGACCCAGGCATGGTAGGACAAGAGATGCTGGTGGGGGCGAGGTGGAAAAATGTACCTGTTCTGATTTACATGCAAATTCTGAATGATTGTGGACACAGGTATCTCACTGTCGATCATTTTTGGATCTACTTGTCTAACTCAACATATATAAAAAGCAAGTTTTTTTCATTTGGTATGATGGAAATTAATAAAAGGTATTATTTTTTCACCTTCATGTACAGACAGAAATCCAGGAATTTACTAAAAAGTTTAAGGGATCTGTGGGCTTTTTGTTGGGGGAAACTCTATCACTGCAGTGGTTTGGGTTAATTTCTGCTCTACATTCGGTCTTTGGAAACCAAACAAACAATGGGTGGCAGAAAGCTGATGGAAAGTTCCAAAATTGCTAAATGTATGAGCAGGTTAAGGCTGAACATGTCACCTTCCATTGTTCCTTGTGCCCTTTCAAGCAAGCCTGGCACCTGCATAGATCTGGCAGCACCAGACTTGTAGAATGACAGTAATTTAATGAGCTCTTAACTTTTAATACATTGACAAGGACAAACTGCCTTTTCTCGAGCTTGTCTCAAGCTGTTAGTTGTTATGTAGAATAAGCTTGATTGAGGTCATGCATGCAGCCACTTTGTAAACTGATCTCTCCTTCTCTACTGAGCCACCAAGCATGCTTTGCATAGGGGCGCACTCATACACACACAACATTCCTGTCAAGCCAACTCTCTCACTCTCTCTCTCTCCAGCTTGAATGTGCAGTCTTAATAAAACGCACAAGGCTCTGAGTGCAAATAGCAGTCCTGCTGCAGCCAGAGCACAGGCAAAGGGGACCAGGCTTTGCATGTGCAGCCGAGTGGCTAATCTTTGGACTGCAAATGAGTGGAGACAATAGATGCTGGCTGCCAATGCTCTAAATATATCTATTGGAGCTGAATAGACATTATCACTGGGGTGACACCAAAATAGTGCAGCTGAAGCAAATCCTTTCCCTTCTTTTTTTTTTCTTTTTTTTACAGTGCTGAAACTTTCTATCCCAAATTTCCCAGGGTGAAATTAGGAAGCCACTGAAAGGAAAGCTGCAGATTTTCATTTATCAAGTTGAGGACAAGATGGCATTGGTGATTTTGTGCGCCCTCTGGGCAACCCTGATGGTGAGCACAGCGGGCACTGGGCAGAGGAAAGGCACAGACAGCACAGGGAGAAGATATAACCGGATCCAGCATGGCCAGTGCACTTACACTTTTATTCTGCCTGAACTGGATGGCAATTGTCGTGAGGGGTCTACGGAGCAGCAGCAGTACACCAATGCACTGCAGAGGGATGCTCCACAAATGGATCAGGATTTTTCCACCCAGAAAATTCAACATCTGGAGCATGTCATGGAAAACTACACGCAGTGGCTGCAGAAAGTAAGTGTTATCTGCAACATTCTCTTCTCTAAGGCAGTGTTTCTCAACTTTAATAAAGCATGTAGCCCTCTATGAAAGGAGTTTATTGAGCAGCCCCTGGAGAGGGTCACTGGATTTCAGATACTGCTTGATGTGGTTACACTTTTTGCCAGATCCCTCTAACTGTGTATAAATATTTTTCTAACATATAATTATGTTTTTAAATAACTTTATAAATATATATATGTATACACAATTCCAAAGTTGGTATAGAGGAGATACGTCAAAGCATCATCATATATATTTATATAGAAAGTCTAAACTGTTATGTGAACTGACTTACAATTAGAAGTACCCTCAGAACATGAAAAGTTCTTCTTTCACCCGAGGTAGGGTACTTATAAGAAGTACCCCTGGGGTACCAGCGCTCTAAGCTTTTTGATCATAAAGATTGTAGAATTGATCACATTTTCAGCATTCTAGAAAGTACACACTATGCAAAACTGCATTCTTCCTGCTGTAGCAGGTACACCGGGGCACAATCAAAGACCCCTGGAGCAAAAGCGGATGAGTTGCCAATAGCAACCAATCAGCTTAATTAATTTTAACAGTCCAAACTTGTTTCACATTTACTCCAGTTTTTTTCTCTTCAGTCGGTACAAATTAGTCCCAGCGCAACCTCAAGCTGGCTCATTTGTTAGGTCAAACAAATGTTTGAAAACATTTTCAGTCATCTGTGTTGTCAACACACTGAAGGTGTCCATCCATTTTAGGCTGGATCAGGAGACTGCCTTGTAACGTCTATGTAGTAGTCCCTGAAGACCCAGTTCTTGGGGGACACAGAGATCAGCCATGGATGGCTTGGACACACAGATCAGAGAGAAAGATTTCCCTGATCGCTACTGTTTGTCTGTGACAAGTCGCCTTCCCCAACATCTGCAAAGAGTGTTTCTGTTTAGGACAGAAGTTGATTCAAAAAGACACTATGACTTGAGATGGTCAGATCAAGCATACACGTCCGACCATTGACTAATGTCTATGGCCATCTTAATGGACTATATCTATGTCTGCATGTAATTACAACATGCAATCCTCCGGTGATCACTTTGTTCACACCATGTCCATTGAGCTTCGTTTCTCTGCACACCACTGCACATGTATGGTGTGAACAATTGTTCTCTATGTGTGCTGCTCTCACTATACGCCATACATGTGCAGTGGTGCACAGAGAAATGTAGCTCAGTGGAAATGGTGTGAACAAGGTTGGTAAATATCAGTCTGCAGAAATCCGTGATCAATGTGAGGAGGACAACTTTTGCTTTTGGAAATTGCACTTCTACGCATGTGCTGTTTGAGACTTAGAAGCTCCGATGGAGAAACTGTATTACAGTAGTAGTATTCTGCAGTTAGAATGAACGGATGCTCGCTGTAGAACACTTACACTGTCCATGATGGGCAATTAGAAGTGGAGCTGTTGCTCAAAGCAACCCAGGAAATGTTATATTTGTAGGTGATGCTTTATAAAGTACTCTGATTAGTTGCCATTGACATCTCCATTTATGTTCCAATTTTCATAAGTCATCATCATTTGATTCTTGAAGCAGTGCCTTGTTGCTTAGACCATCCAGATTTCGTTTTTTGCACAGTGCAGTCACCCATGGAGGGGAATTTATCAAAACTGGAGCAGACGGAATCTGGAGCAGCTGAGCATGACAGCTTCTCTCTTTCATTTTCAAAGCTTAAAGTGACATTAAAGGCTAAAGTTCCTCCCCAATGCTGGAGTAAAGACCTTAAATGATGCCTCTTGATGCGATCATCCGCTTCTTTCCAGTACTTTTCAGGAGTACCTCCAGCGCTGATGCTGGTCTCTGATCCAGTGCTGACTCCTCACTCTTCCTGACACTTCCTGTCACACAGAGTCTGTGCGGGTACAAGCTGCCGGCATTGACTTACCTTGTGTCTCTCCTCATCTCCCGGCTGAAGATCTGTACTGTGCATGCGCCCGCCCCATGGTCCTTTGCGACCGCCCCAGAATCTTCAGATTTTTAGACGAGAACCCTCTTCTTAACTTTTTTTTAATGTTTTTGCATATATATACTGCTTGCTAGCAGTAATATATGCAAAAAAAAAACGGGACAGTTTAATTATCCTTTAACTGAACAAACTGAAGAGAGAAGCTGAATGGTTACTATGAGCAACTGCTCCGGATTCTGTCTTCTCCAGTTTTAATACATTTCCCCGTAGCATTCACTGAGTATTTACTTTACTCAAGTTGGAACAAGGATTCTGTTCCATCACACTTTGCTCTCGGTGTTGTGTTCCTTCTGCTATATTAGTGAATATTTCTGTATCTGGTTGGTGTTCCCTGTTTTCGGGGCAGTTCCAGGTTTTGAGATTTTGTCATGTGGAAACTGCTGTCCCTGGAAATGTCACCATACTTTGGTGCATACAAATCCCCGTCAGTGTGCAGCATGTCAAACTAAATCTTCATCACCTATTAATATGCGCTGTGTGTTTTCAGTTAACGTTTTATATGAGGGCAGCATTTTGAAAATGTTTGCATTCCAGTTTTATGAACATGTCATAATTGGGGATTTACACCGGAAACTAAAAAAAAAGATTGCACAGCATTAAAAACGTCTTAACAGACCGCTAATTTGTGAGTGTGCCCGCCATTTACACCTATTGCAGCTGGCAGGTTTAGAGCCAGCCTTACCATGACGAACAACAGATTCATCTGTGACTTGGCGAACACAGCTACTTAAGTCTGCAGACTCCAGTGATCATTGCACGACATATACCAGCCGACTCCATTCGTTGCTAAGGGCTATGGAACGCAACACTTTGCTCCTTGAATGTTTCACAAATAAAGCTGGTAGTGTATTTTAATAGTTTGTTTTCTATGTTAAAGAGGAACTCCAGGAATGTAAAAAGTTCACCTTTGCTGTGAAACTACCTCTGCACTGCAAGGGTCAATGGCTCATTTTTCTCTAGGGGGCTCAAATAATACATTAATAATAAATAAATTAATAATAAATAAATATAAATACTCACCCGATCCTCAATCCTGCCTGGCTGCTAGACTGGTCCGCACAGCCGCTTCTTCCCTGGCCTCTGGTGTCCTGAGGGCTAGTTCACACCAGATGCAGTAGTGATGCAGTCCTCTCCGTTTTGCAGCTACATCAAAAATGCATCACAATGCTTTCCAATGGGATTTCTTGTGCTCTGCTCACACCAGAGCAGCCAATTCCAATGCAGCTATATGCAAAAAAAAAACGGGACAGTTTAATTATCCTTTAACTGAACAAACTGAAGAGAGAAGCTGAATGGTTACTATGAGCAACTGCTCCGGATTCTGTCTTCTCCAGTTTTAATACATTTCCCCGTAGCATTCACTGAGTATTTACTTTACTCAAGTTGGAACAAGGATTCTGTTCCATCACACTTTGCTCTCGGTGTTGTGTTCCTTCTGCTATATTAGTGAATATTTCTGTATCTGGTTGGTGTTCCCTGTTTTCGGGGCAGTTCCAGGTTTTGAGATTTTGTCATGTGGAAACTGCTGTCCCTGGAAATGTCACCATACTTTGGTGCATACAAATCCCCGTCAGTGTGCAGCATGTCAAACTAAATCTTCATCACCTATTAATATGCGCTGTGTGTTTTCAGTTAACGTTTTATATGAGGGCAGCATTTTGAAAATGTTTGCATTCCAGTTTTATGAACATGTCATAATTGGGGATTTACACCGGAAACTAAAAAAAAAGATTGCACAGCATTAAAAACGTCTTAACAGACCGCTAATTTGTGAGTGTGCCCGCCATTTACACCTATTGCAGCTGGCAGGTTTAGAGCCAGCCTTACCATGACGAACAACAGATTCATCTGTGACTTGGCGAACACAGCTACTTAAGTCTGCAGACTCCAGTGATCATTGCACGACATATACCAGCCGACTCCATTCGTTGCTAAGGGCTATGGAACGCAACACTTTGCTCCTTGAATGTTTCACAAATAAAGCTGGTAGTGTATTTTAATAGTTTGTTTTCTATGTTAAAGAGGAACTCCAGGAATGTAAAAAGTTCACCTTTGCTGTGAAACTACCTCTGCACTGCAAGGGTCAATGGCTCATTTTTCTCTAGGGGGCTCAAATAATACATTAATAATAAATAAATTAATAATAAATAAATATAAATACTCACCCGATCCTCAATCCTGCCTGGCTGCTAGACTGGTCCGCACAGCCGCTTCTTCCCTGGCCTCTGGTGTCCTGAGGGCTAGTTCACACCAGATGCAGTAGTGATGCAGTCCTCTCCGTTTTGCAGCTACATCAAAAATGCATCACAATGCTTTCCAATGGGATTTCTTGTGCTCTGCTCACACCAGAGCAGCCAATTCCAATGCAGCCAGAAAAATACTGCTTGCCCTATTTTAGCTGCATCGGATTGCGATGGAACGCACCGGAATGCACCAGAAATCCCATTTTAAGCAACCCCCCGCCAAAAAAAATAAACCAATACAGCCTTTCCTCTCAGGTTTGTGAGTTTTTATTGATTCCCTAGAATTTAGAAGATTGGTAATTAGGGATGCACCGATACCGATACTAGTATCGGTATCGGTGCCAATGCCAATACCAAGTACCTAGCCTGATACATGAGCTTCCGGTATCAGGAAGCCGGGCAGTGAGTCATTAAATGCTGCCCGGCTTCTTGATTGGCTGGGAAGCCGGCTCCATGTGCTCTCGTCACCAGGGAGCATGGAGCCGGCTTCCCGGCCAATCAGGAAGCCGAGCAGCGTGTAATGACTCACTGCCCGGCTTCCTGGTTGGATGGGAAGCTGGCCAATCAGGAAGCCGGGCAGCGTCTAATGACTCACTGTCCGGCTTTCTGATTGGCCGGGAAGCTGGCTTCATGCTCCCTTGTCACCTTGTGACGAGAAGCATAGAGATGGAAGCCAAGTGGTGAAGCCAAATGGTGAGTCATAACACGGTACTCGTACTCGATACCGAAAAAACGGTATCGGTG